ATGCTTTTATACTATTTTTTAAAGTGTTTACAATTTGTACATTTGTTATCTGCTTTAAATTTCTTCTTCTTATTGTGGAGGCCTTTCTGTTACTGTTTGTATGTTATTTTCGTTTTGGGAACTTCCTTTATTTTTTAAGAGATCAGCAAAAAACAATTTCTCTTAATTTTCCGTCATCTGGTAATGACTTCATTTACTCTTCATATCTGTGGGGTAGTTTCACAGGTATGAGATTCGATGTTAACTGTTTTGAATTTTTTTCTCATTTAGCATTTAAAAGATAATTTTTCCATTTTGACCTCCACTGTTACTAAGAATAAATAAATACATTTAATTCAAGGTTTTTTTTCTTCAAACAAAATGTAACATTTTCCAGTGATTTAAAAAGTATTGTTTCTTGGGGTCTGGAGGAATGGTTCAGTGGTTAAGAGCACTTGTAGCTCTTACAGAGGATCCAGGCTTACTTTACAGTACCACACAGAGACTTAAAACTGTCTGGTACTATAGTTCTTAGGGATCCAATGTTTCTTTGTTTTTCTGGCTCCTTGGGCACCCAGGCATTCACATGGTGCACATAAGTACATGCAGGAAAAACACTCAAACACATAAAATGAAAGCAAATCTTTTACAAAGTATTGTTTTCTTGTTTCTTAGTTTTAAACCATTTGATTATGGCACATCCTAGTGTGTATTTCTTTAGCATTACCCTGCATGTGGTTTGATCAGCTTCTTGAACCTGTAGATTTTTTTCTTTGTTTTTTGTTTTGTTTTCTTTTGTTTTTCAAACTTTCTTTTATTATGTTTATTTCTTACTGATCTGTCAGTTCTACATGTTTTACTGTTTCTACCACTTGGATGATACCAGTTTAGATACTTTGTTCTGTGAGCTCAACTTTTAATTTATCTTCTGTCATTCAACATGAGAAAGGCCTATCTTTAAGTCCATTTGCTCTATCCTTTCATCCTTATACTGTTGAGTATATCCAGTCAGACTGACATATGTAAATCCTACTGAAATTCTTCATATAAATTTTACTACTCACCTGTAGTAGGAGGCCGCTTGTTTGTTTCATGGCCGCCCAGACCCCCTAAATAATCACACAGAAACTGTATTAATTAAATCACTGCTTGGCCAATTGCTTCAGCATATTGCTAGCTAGCTTTTTTTTTTATCTAGAATTAACCCATCTCCATTATTTTATATTTTACCATGAGGCTTACTGCCTAATGGCAAGGTTTCACCATGTCTGTCTCTAGCAGCGGCTCCATGACTTCTCCTGACTTTGCCTCCTTTCTCCCAGCATTCAGTTTAGTTTCCCTACCTAGCTCTGTTCTACCCTATCAGGCCAAGCCAGTTTCTTTATTAACCAATGACATTCACAGCATACAGAGGGAAATCCCACATCACTCCCCTGAAATTGTCTCTTCTTTCCTTTTCATCCTTTTATTTTAACATCAAGAGACTTTGTAATTGATGTTGAATCTTTATCATGCTTGTTTATAACTCTTATCATATAATTCTAACATCTGAATCCTGTTGTCATTGGCATAATCTTTTTATCTTATCACAATAAGATTATAGATTTGCTGGATTTTTATGATAAAGAATTTTCAAGAGTAGTCTGATTATTTTGAAAGTATTCTGTTGTTTCTGTGCTATTTTTCCTCTCATGGTCTCCTTTTTTTCTTTTTTTTGGTTTGTCTAGTTTTTATCTTCTTGCATGAACTTTGAGCCTTGGTTAGGCTAACAGGTGCACTGGTGCTGTGGAGGGTCCTACTTGTGGTTTCTTGGTGTTGTGGAAGAGAAATAATAAAAGATGCTTGCTTCAACTGTTCGTTTTTCTTCAGCTGCATGGGATACAAAAGAAATAAATTGTAATGTAGTTAAATAGAATTTTATCTTGCTCATCTTTCTTTTCACTTTGTGCCTATATTGGTATGTATAACATTTATGAAAATTTTTTCTACCTTGAGGTTATCAATAGTCTATATATTTTAGTAAAACTTTTAAAGTTTTCTCTTCACATTTTTACATTACCTTTTAAACAATGATTTTAAAGATGTATTTCTAATTTTTTAAATAAATTGTTGACACATTTGTGGAACTGATCTTATCACATCAACTGAGCATGATATTGAAATGTCTAGTCACTGCAGCCAAAGAAGATTTAAGTAGAGATTATAAACGGAAAAATAAAAACTACTGATGACTACATAAAAATCCCCAAGGAATCTACAAAACCCTTTTCATAACTAATAAAGCATGCTCCTATGGTTGTCAGACAAAAGATAAAGGAGCAATACATTGTCTATCTATCTGTCTGTTTATCTGTCTATCTATCTAGCATCTCTATCCATCTCTATCTACCTCAAATGTCTGTCTATCTGTCTTCCTGCCTATCACTATCTATTTTTCAGTCCCATGGAGCTAATACTAGATTCACTGGACTCCTACTTTTTATGTATCAAAGGCTGGCCTTAAACTCCCAACCCTGCTTCAACACCCCAAGTCCTGGTAATACACCATTGCCTATTCATGTGTTTATTTTGTAAGGATATCACCTGTACCCAGTCATCTATCTTCTCTTCAAATCTCTATGATCAATATTTACAAAGAGCAATAATGCAAGGCCTCTCTCTTCTGCTGTTGCTGTGCAAAAGAGGATAGCGTGGTGCAGACACAAATGAACGAAGGAGAAATAAACAGAGATATGACCAATGAGCTTCCGGCCAAAGGAGAAATGTCTTCAAAGAAGAATTGATAGCCTTTTTAGTAAAGGGTGCTGAAGCAAGGAATTACCCCCTCTCAGAAATCCATACAGTAAATGAGACTGCGATCTAAACCACACAACTCACACCATGAAAACCGATTCAAAATGTCCAACAGACCTACAAAATAACTTGTTTAGAATCCATGTAGGAAAAAAGCACTTCAGTCTAGCAATAGGCAAATAGTTTTTAGACTTGACATCAAAAGTAAGATCCATAAAAGGAAAAAAATAGTAAATTGTATTGGGTCCATAGGTTTTTACAACATGGCAACCATTTGTGATCTAATAGATTGATGACACAATTGTATGGCTGAAAGGAACTGAACATATGATTTAACTTCTACTTAATAAATTGTCACTTGTTAAATGTTGTTTCTATAATACATTCAAATACATATTTTTCAAACTTTTCTGCTACAAGTTATCATTTATTACTTGAAAACGAAGATATGATTCTTTGTGTTGGCTTGGTTAAATGATGAAACAGAACAAAAACGTATTTAGTAAAAAAAAAAAAAAAACCCTAGAAGCCTGGTTATTTATTGAGAAAACAGAACTTGAATAATTTCTTTTATGGCTGAAAGAGACATAAGGAACAGATTGGAGGATGCAGATTCTCATGAATGGGTGACTGAATACAAGGATAGAAATGTAGGATTCAGTTTGGTATGCATGTCTCTTAAGCAGTTAGGGAACAGAGATCCTATTTTGGATTATTAAAGTTATATGTGTAAACAGAATACATGTTTGCTTCCTTATCCAAAAAAGAAAATCCAATAGACAAATCAAAAGGAATGAACCTGCTTATTAGAGTCAAACTTAATAAACACCAAGATATTAAAATCATAAGCCACATTAAATGTAAGTGGCAAGTAGCAGAAACACACCCCAATTATCAATTGTTCCATGGTGAATGGGGGAAATAAGTTCTCACTACTCTGAAACCCTCCCTGCAGCAGTTGGTGCTCTGAGCTAAAATTATCCCTGGGCTCTCTCTCAGTAACCCCAATTGATGTCATCACTGGGAAAATGACAGGAAACTGAAGGAAACAGCTCCTGTGTTAAGTCTGATATAATTACTTTTTCAAAAGCCCAAGTATCCTGTTCTCATGTTGACAGGGAAAAAACAAGCTTTGCAAGTGAGGAGGCTGACAGACTTCAGGAAGCTGTTGGAGGCATGGGTCCTCTGGCATGGCATGGAAGGAAAACCTGCAAAACTAAGCTCACCAGGAGAAAAGATAAACTGGAAGAGAAATAGAGGCTTTGGTGCCACATGTAATGCCATAAAGCAAGTTAGTAACTGTACCTAGTTGAACTAGAACCTACCAATAAATATTTTGTTTTAGTTTTTCCCCAAATCTCCAAACAAAAGATAGAGGAAAGGGGGAAAGCTTTGACAAGAGGAAAAATGTCTTTTTCTCAGAGGTCTTAGTCACAGGTGCATTAATAGAGGATATCAGCAAGAATTGTATCTGGCCTGTTCTACCTCCTGTGTACAGCTACCTAGGCCAAGGTCACCAAGGAAAGTGGGACCAATGATTGGAAAAAGATGCTTACAATGCTCATCACTGAAGCAGAGGGAATAGAGTATATGTCGAGTTTCCGCAAGCTGACATGAAAACAGCCAATTGATTTTCATAGTTTGTCAAAAGTCACTGTCATTTTTGGAGAAAATTAAAAAGAAGCATGTTTAACTGGGCCGACAACGGGCTGGCAGAGTGGGTGAAAATATTCAAACATCTTCCCAGTTGCCACAAAACTCGGGTGGAACCGTCCCCAGAGGTGGAGAGAGCAAGGGGATGGAGTGTCAACAAAAGAGCTAGCCTTTGGAAGCCAGAGTTGGCCACGGAAGCCCTGCTGGGAGAAGGGTTTCTCTTTCTTCTCTTTCTGATTCACAGTCTTGTCCTTTTCCCAAGGCTGCTGGAGGAACACTTTAAACCAAATGTGGATGATCACAAACCCGGGAAATGCTAAGGTTCCTGACTCACAAACTCCTGTTAATGTCATTAGGAATTCTACCCGCTCACTTCCCTAATAGCTGAAGTTAGATCAAACACATTCCAGAAGTCAGACCTTGGCATTGTAAACTCCCATGAATCAGGAAGAGCTGGGATTGGCAAACTTATCAGATGGCATCCCCAGTCTTACAGCCCCCCCAAACACTGAGGAGGTTAGAGAAGGAAATTCGAGATTTAATATATGAAATGTGCTGTCTTAAATCACCACCACTAATTTTCCCGAGACAAACTTTATTGGAGACAGCAAGCAGCTCACTGAAAGGGGAGGGTCATGCCTTCTTCCTACAACTGCTCTCTGAAGACGGTAGTATCTTGAGCACGGGTCACAAGCAGGCACACGTCATAGTCACACATGAATTTCCAGGAGAGTGCCTGCAGCAGTATTTTTCTCAATTACATTTTTTCCCTTGTTTAACATATACTTTGGTTTTATTTAGGGGAAAGTGAAACAAATAAAAGACCAACTTGCCACAAGTGAGAATAGAGTTTCCCCTAGAGTTAAGAAATGACACAGCTGCCCTTTTCTTTGAAGGGATTCTTGTCTTCTGGGATACCCTTCACCAGAGGATCCTCTCCAGCACGTTCTTCAATATAGTTCTTTATTTCTTCAGAACATTTAGACACCTGAAGTTTCAAAAAAGGGAGCGGGGAATCAAAAGAAACAGATTAGGTCAGGAATATTGAACTTTGCCATAGGCTTTTTTTGAAGTTGTTAAAATTTAGTAAATAAGATTTAATTTTTAAAAATAATGTTTCAAAAATTCTTCCCATGCTCTAAGATTTTTATTTTATTCTATTTATATATGTGATATAGTCTGTGAGAAAAGTACTTTATTGTTCAAGAAGCAAATGCTTGAAAGCCATTGGAGGAATAGTTCATCCATGAAAATCTCTGTTCATGTGTCACGTGATTTCCTTCCTCTCCGAAATACACTTGTAACAAACCTATTTTCAAATTCTCTCCATGACAGTCAGCTGTCAGTCACCCATCACTGTTGTCATACAAGCGCTTATGCCACACGCCAGAACTCCATGGAGTCATAGTGCTGTTCACAGAAGTGGCGGGGAAAGGCTGACTGGAACTGATATATTTGTCCACCCATCTAGCTCTAAGTTGCGCCTCAGAATTCCTTTGACGAGTATGGTGATGACTATAATAAAGACTTTTCTAAGGGGGTTATGGGGTATCTGAGATTCTGGCATTTAGAGGATCAGCTTAAACTTTTCTTCTACTGGGAAAGGATTAAATAGTTTTTTCAAAAATTCTGCCAGTAAGAGACAAGTTTCAGTTTTTTTTTAAATAAATAAAGGAGAATGAATGGGAAATGAAAAGTAAGACTGACTAAACATAAAGGTCTATTTTGAAAGTAAGAGTGTGAAGTAACATGGGTGCTATCAACAATGGTTTGTGATTTAAATTAGTACCCTTTAAGAGAGCCTCCCTAAACACGTTTACATATATCTCTCCAAACATGGACAATTATAAATAAGTACAAGCACAGTGTTAACACATCACACACAATTATGAAACATAAACCAGTGATGATAAAAGAATGAGATTTAAAAATAAACACAAGTAGAAATCTCATTATTATATCTTTTTTCCTTTCTGTAACTGAAAGCCGTGTTTGCATGGCACTATGTAGAACCCCTGGTCCAAACTTTCATAGGTCAAACAGTTACAGGGATTAAAATGTGGTGATAAATAGTATCCTGCCAAGAATCTGACCATTGCTGGCACTCATAGTCTGTGTGTTTTAGAGGAATTCTCAGTGCTGATAAATAGAATGTTAAAACCTGGAGTCTATGGGTCCAGTGAAACATCTGGATATGATCCATGTTCCCCACTGTTCCTGCAGAAGTTTTTACACTGGGCTTCTGAAAATGTCAGTGATCTCCGAAAGCGGATAACTGCTCCTTCTAGGATCGAGAGGCTACATCTGACCCCTAATTAGTTAGCTGCAGTCAGATGTGAATGTGCTGGAGCACTACCCCAGGTGTCAACAGAGACTGGCAGGATAACATGGAGGGCTCCCCAGAAACACTCTGGAAGAACCTGCATTGTGGTTCTCTGTGGTGTTGAAGAAGGAATTAGTTAGCCTCTCTGGGACTGAAGTGCTTTTCTTTGCTCAAGTGAGGGCTCCAGTGGTGTCTAAGAGTCACAGTGCTCACCTGGCACTAATAGAGACCTTTGTGCGTCATGCTGAAAATGAAATGTTTGAGAACGCTGAATCCTGAGATGGCCCTCTATGAGTCTAGGAAGAATCACCCTAAATCTTTCTGTCTTCCTTGCAGACACTTAGAGTTTCCTGAATCGTGTGTGCCCAGGGTTTGAGGTGATTCCCAGAGAGAAAGTGTAAGCAAGAGATGCTTGTTTTTTACACTGGCACAACCAGGATGCTGCCTGATGTCCAAGTTGAATTTAAAGAAGAAACTTGTCCTTTCCCATACATCCCTGTAACTTCTACCCAGTGATGTTAACTATGCAAACAGCTCAACTTTGCAAAGGCAAAACATTATTTCAGTATACGCAGTGCTGTTTAATGTGCAATCTCTCCGGGCAAACTCAGGGCTTTGTCACCAGCCAAAACAGCCCTTCAAAGAAAGAAGATTGCTCTATGGTTCTGTCAAAGGCCCTATTCCTCGAATCACATGACCTACTTAAAGTTACAAGAAAGGCAGATATCTCACTGTGGAATCTACGAACAGTGTGAATTTGTATAAGGCAAATAGCTAAATGGCCCCCGGCGGGGGGGGGGGCATAAAATAGTGAAACTCAAAAAGTTCCAGACTCTTCCAAAGATCACTGATGGATAACAAAACTCTTATGATGCGAGTTTGCATTCTGTTTACTTATGCGCTTCATTTCCATTTCTTCTTTTATTTTTTTTCAAATATTAAACTATAAACAGAACGTAAAAATCAAATAGTCCAGAGTGTGGCTCAGAAGTGACCACATATGCAATGCCCTGAGTTTGGAACCCAGCATCCCAAAGTTTTAAAAATAAAATCAGTTCAAAATATTCTTGATGAAGTGAAAAGAATAATTTTCTTAGAGATGACCAAATTATCTGAAAGTCCTTTCCTGAACTACAGGTTGCCAGACGGAATAAAAAGATGAATGTAAAAGGCTCCTACGACCAGCAAGAAACTGAAGTAAAACTCCCAAGCTTTCCATGGAGTTTCCGTGGTAACTCCTGATTTTTTTTTTTCTTTTTCTGGCTAGGCTGCCCTGGAACTCTGACTCTCCTGTCTCCACTTCCTAAGTGCTTGGGAATTACAGACGCAGACTGCCACACCCAGCCTGTACTCGTTTTTTGTTTTGTTTGTTTTTTTTTTTAATTTGCAACCATATGTCCTTTAGTATAAATATAATTATGTTTATAAGTAAGTTCAGAAAACACTGTATTAGTCATTTGCATGCTTATAAAAAGAGTTGAAAACTGTGTAAGATGTTCAAACAAATAACTGGAATTCAGGCAGTTTGCTCTAAAGCCCCCGTGGAGTCAGGGTCTTTGCAAAATCAAAGCTAACATGACTGGGAGGTTTTAAAATGTATTTTTAGAAGAACTCTTTCATTCCAGAATAGAAGTCAGCAGTTGTTTTGGAGATTGCTTATGTTCTTTTTAGGCTATCTTGATGGTATTTGACTTTATATTTCTTATTAATTACGGATTCATTCTTTACACTTTTAGCAATTTCCCCACATCATCCAACAGCTCCAGGCTTCTACAGAGAAGCTGCCAGAAGAAAACCAAACCAGTTAACCGTGATATTCTGACCTTGTTAATATTTCTGAGAAGGAATTCTGGAATAGCCGGCCACCTTACCTGTTGTCTCTGCAACTTCACTTCTTTGCGAAGTTGCTCAACCTCCATCTTCAGCTTTTCCTTTTCCGGCAGATCCTCGATGTGAAGGGCAGGCATCTTTGCCCCAGAACTGGGTCCAGGAGTCACTTGTGCAAGGCAGCTACTGGAAGCTCCTAGAACCAGGAGGCGTCCCCAAATATGCGCAGGCCCAGGCTACCCGTCCCCCATCTCCCCACCCCCTTCGCAGGACGTGACTGGCTGGGGAACCTCCGCTCCCAGCTCCCGGGGGCCTCTGTTTCCTGCCCAAGCCTGCTCCCGATGGCCTTTCCCAGAGTCCAGGCAACTTCCAGGCGGCTTCTCCAGGCCCAGCAGCCCTGTATCCAGGCAGCTTGGCGAGGGTTAAGTATGAAATGTCCTCCTGGCTGCATACCCTGCTGGACCACGTAGCAGCTCTGGGCAGGCCTGGAGCTGGACCCTTGCCACACCCACGGGAGCTGCTAGGTTGAACACAAAAGTTTTACTTTTGTTCCTTTATTTTTAGTGTGTGTGTGTGTGTGTGTGTGTGTGTGTGTGTGTGTGCCCGTCCAACTTACATCCGGATTTTGTTTAAAGGCAGGAAAAGGACACTACTCAACAGGAAATAATGGTCCTTCACCTCTCCAAGTTTTAAAAATACACAGTATGTAACTTTTCCATTTACGTAGTGGGGAAAGTGGATATTTGAAAAGGAGGAAAGAAGCGCAATGTGGAACTCAGCTAGGTTTCACAAGTTCCCACCAGAATTGTGTTGACACGTGTCACGTCGTTTGTTAAAGTTTAAAAGGCCTTTGACAAATATGCTTGGAGGAGAAAAGTAGTTTGAGATAAGAGTTTTTCCTGTTGTTAAATAACTATCTGCATTTTCAATAAGACAGTTTTCACTTTGTGGTGGTGGTGGTGGTGGGAGAAGTTTTGTAACCCCGAGAAGATAAAAAGACATGATTAGAAAACAGGGAGCTAAAGCCCCCTCCAGAGTTCCTCCCATCCCCCAAGACTTCATAGTACACATCTACATGAAGGGGCAAGTTTCTTGCTTTATGTTTTTGAACTCCTGGTGGACTTCCTTTCCTTGATGGAGGCAGCACAGTCACGTAGAATAGCTTTCCCCACTTCCTAGAAAGCAATCTTCATAGACCTGCAGACTTGGATAGCCAGGAAAGAGGCTTTGGGAAATATTAAGGAGCAATGTCAACTTTGTTCCATTGTTCATTAATGCTCGAAGATGAGAGAGAAAAAAACAAACACATAATGTAAATGTAGGAAACCTACCTGTGCAATAGAATACTCCCTGTGTTTCCCCGAGACGACTTCCCAACTAATAGTTAAATTCGGATGAAGAGTGGAGGCATTAACTGAATATTTCAGGGTACTCGATTTTAGATATGCAGTTGTTTAGTACACACAAGCGTTGTGTAGTTTCTCACCAGGCTCCACCCACTGCCCTCACTGACTATATTAAGATGAAAAGTACAGTGGGCTACTTAATAAATGCTCTTTGGTAGTCCTTCGGACTCTCCCTCGAGCCAGCAATGAAAAGTCAGTTAAAATTTTCTGGGTTTTGTTTTTCAGCTTTAAAAATATGAATCAGGGAAGTTGTGTCATGTTTCAAAAGGTGACTAAAAGTGATTGATCTTTCTTTTTCCGTAAAGAAAATGTTTAGATGCTCCACTTTCTGTATTTGAAATAATCAGGATTTCCCGGACTTAGAGATGGGCCAGCTGGTGAAGTTTTGCTTATTAGTAATCAGTCAAGACAAATTCACATCAGTCTGAAGAGCCAAGTTTTTCTCTTAAATTTCCTATCCCTTAAGTTTAAAAGGTTGACTAAAAATAGCTTAAGTAAACTAGTGAAAGTAAGTTAAATGAATGTGGGCTAAAGACAGTAAGTCTTACACCAAAATGAAGGAAGTTGGCTAAGAAAATTAAGGTACATGTCTGACTTAAATAATAAAGTAGAATTATTTAGGCCTATCAATTTCTTCCTTGTGAATCAGCTAGTGCATGCAGGGATGCATATTTATAAACATATTGGTTGGTGAGCATTTTCCTCGGTATGTGAGGCTTAAATTAGAGACTTTATGTATTAATCCATATTTTTCTTTCATTCTCAGACAATTCACAGTGTGATATATTTTTTAAAATAACCTAAGCCAGGCAATGGTGGCACAAGCCTTTAATCCCAGCACTTTAGAGGCAGAGGCAAGCAGATCGCTGTGAGTTTAAGGTCAGCCTGGTCTACAAGAGCTAGTTCCAGGACAGGCTCAACAGCCAAAATAGATAGATAGATAGATAGATAGATAGATAGATAGATAGATAGATA